GTATATAGGGGTGGGGTTTGTGGTAATTACAGCGTTATGTCACTGGAAATGTTAACGGATAAGACTGTATCTTATCGACTGGATCAAGGCCGACGAGCTTCATGCAAGAACAACTCAGAAGTAAAAAAATGAAAGAAGCCAAACTTGATACGTTGAAAATTTAAAAGTTGAAAAAAGTTTGTTAACAAAGAAACAACAACTCTGACCTGAGGGGGGAGGAGTCATTCACATGTTCACCAGGAGGGGACGTCAGCTTCACTCGAGACACAGATGTCTCTCCGTCACCACGTTTTCATCACGCTCACAAACTTGTGCTTTTCTTTCTTTTGACGTCTCTTTTCCGAACCTGAGTTTAAGGTCGATTATCTGTTCACTGATCCGACATCTGTAAACATCTGTGAACAGTGTCAGTCAGAGAGCAGCTGGTGAACATGTGGAGCCAGATGTTTCCCTCAGGACGCGGTGGAGAGCAAACACAGACAGAGGAGATAATTAACATCTCAGGTGTCGAATGTGACTCAACGTAAACTTCACGTCTTCCTGCATGAAGCCCGTGGGTTTGGTTTTTTTCGGACAACTCACCTGTACACGTGTCAACAGCAGTTTCAAACGTCGCTTAATCAGAGCTCAGCATGTGCTAAACCAAAGGTAACCATAGCAACAGTGCAGCTGCTTCAGGCTCCGCTAGCGGTCGAGTGAGCGGCGAAACAAACCGAACCCACGAACACTGAGTCAAACATTCAACAGATGTTTCCATGATGAAGATGAAGAAGGGAACTTTTCTAAACCTAATCCTCAGCAGCAGTGTTGTTGCTGTTGTCGTTGTTGTGAGTGTGTTCCTCGTCACTCGCTCTGTTAGCCTGCATGCGTAGAGTCTGGTTCTAGCATGAAGTTAAAATCACTCTGTCGTGATCGTGTTTCAAAACAAGTCAAAATAACTCTGACAATAAACTGTGGGAATCATCTGCACCCACATTTTCTATTCACTCTGTCAATGCTCAGTGTGTGTGAGTGTGTGTGTGTGTCTGTCTGTGTGTGAGTGTGTGTGAGTGTGAGTGAGTGTGAGTATGTCTGTGTGTATGTGTGTGTGTGTGTCTGTATGTGTGTGTGTCTGTATGTGTCTGTATGTGTGTGTGTGTGTGTGTGTGCGTGCGTGCGTGCGTTTTCAGGGTCAGAGGTCAGACTTTGATCTTTGATTGTTAAATCAACACAATGTCAGATTTGCCCTCAGTCCACTCGGGGCTCCCCCTACAGGTAGGAGCTGTGATACAGGGACAGATCATATAATGACGTAGAATAAATTCAACAGCACAATATTGTGATTTCAGTATTATTTTGAATGACAGACAATAAACACAGACTTCCTGTGTGTTCTTCATATCTACGTTGCTGCATCAGAACATCATGGTTCTAAAAATCAAATCAAATCTTTTATAAATCTTTTTACGCTGCTCTCAAAATGTTTCTAAAGAAAATTACATGAAAGAAAACTTTTTCCACTTGTAGTTACACTCCTTGTCAGCAGGAGGTGCTGCAGCCGCGATGCTTACCCTGCATGCTCATTGTATATAACCCACTAGGAGACCACGGTCAGAACCCCCCAATGAGACCCCATGTCAAACTGTCTGTCAGAGGTTTGTCCCAGTAAACCCCCCGTCACAATCTGGTGTGTCTGAGACGTCACAGAGTCGGAACCAAACAATGACGTCTCGCTGCATCGATCCAGTAGATGAGTGTGACTCGATCTCATTTCATCATAAATCAACAAGAGAGAAAGTTTTGGTGTCAGGGGACTTTGAACCCAGCTCACTAGTAACAGGAACTCCAATTTATCAAGAACCCTCCCCCAAACTTAAGTCACAGAAAACAATGAATGTCCACTTAAATGTCCACAAGGTCAACTCCTTAGGCAGTTTGCTCAGTCCACAAAATGTCCACCAACAGAAAGAAGAAATCAGTGAAGGTCCTTCCTTCAAAATGCAGAAACACATCCGGGAACACAACGCACTGCAAAAACAAAAAGCCAAAAACAGAACTCACCAGGAGTCGAGTTGAGAAGAACTTCTGCGGACCTGGTCCTTCACTCACTCTGTGTTCTTTTCTTCCACTGGGTAAGGTATCAAAATGCAGACAACCAGCTCCTGTCTTCTCCCTGTTCCTCCTCACTCCAAACTCCTGTCTCCCCAAACAATTCACCTCCTTTGTCCTCTAAGCCCCGCCCCCCCCTCACCTGAAGAGTGCTTGCAGCAGGACGCCGCACCGAGCCGCCTGGTGGCAGCGGCTGAGGAAAGAACTCAGCACTAAACCATTCAAAAGACAAACTTCCTGTCACACTTGTGACGGTGTCCTGACACGGCTTTGTTCATTCATTTATAATGTTTGGAAATAAAAACCTTTTCTTTCTGACACATTGACTAATTATTTGTTTCTACTTTTACTATTTTTATTTTCATTCTTTCAGAGCGTTAAAAACATTTTGGGCAGAAATGAAGAAACATTTTGATTTGATTAAAGTTTTAATGTGAAAAGAAAAAAGTCATTTAAATATTTGTGCAAATAAAAACTGTGAAATGTGAAAGAGTCAAAAAGTATATGTACAGATATAAATATCAAACATTCAGACGTCAGAAAAATACAGGTCGAAATTACAAACAGAAAAATATATTTTAATCTGTTGTATCGTTTTCATTAAAGAGGAACAATCTGTTGATAAGTGCAAAATCAAAACAAGTTTTTTCTGCTTCTGAAAAAAAACATTTTTTATGTTTATACTGTTTTATATTTCACGAGGACTCGTTCACCAGGACCCTGTGGTGATGCAACTGTTTATGGACCAATCACAAGCCTCAGGCCTCCTCGATGGGGGGGCTGTTAAAGCAGCCGGGGGGGATTTTAGACAGGATTTCCTCCAGGTTTTTGATGTCTCTCTGGATGGTGTCGATGTCCAGGTTGATGGTGGTCAGCCGGCGACGCAGTGCGTCCTCCTGCTGCTCCATGTCCCTGAAGCGAGGCCTCAGATGAGCCTCCACGTCTCTCTGAGCGTCGGCCAGAGACGCCTCCAGCTGCTTCAGGCGACTTTCATCCACCGTCCCGGGCTGGTCTGAGGAGGAGGAGGAGACTTTTACTGGAGTGAAGAATGTTTGACCTTTGACCTTTACCTCCTGTGATGTTTGAATCAGTTAGAAAACGACAAATGTTAACTCCTCTCCCCCCCGATCGCAAACCTTGAACTTACTCATGTTGTCCAGCAGGCGGCTGATATCTCTGAGTGTTTTACCCACGGCGTCTCTGGTCCGTCCGGCGTTGCTGAAAGCGGCATCCGCTCCTATGGCAGCCTGCACAGGACACATTTACACGGTTACTCTCTGTGCGTCGATCGGTGAGTCAGCTCGCCTCCATGTGGACGCGTTACCTGCTCTGCTTCAGCCTCCAGATTCCTGGCGTCATCCAGCTCAACCTTCACGTCTCTCGTCAAGTCGCGCGCCTTCGTCTTCAGGTCCTCCGCCTCGCTGCTCAGTTTGGTGGCGTCACTCAGCAGGCCGACATTAGACGGCATCGACCCGAACATTCCCTGTAGAATACAAACGAAACTTCAGGATGAAGCAGAAGTCCAACACCGGAACACGTGACACAGACATGGAGCTAAGCTAACGGTTGTTTTTGTGCTAAGCTAGGCTACACATGTGTTTTCACCTCCACACTGCTGACCAGGCCCTGCAGCTCATCCACGGTTCCCAGAGCGCTGTTGTAATCTTCAGACACGTCTCCGAGGACAGACAGCGTCTCCACATTGTTGCTAACGGCCTGCTGGATGGTGGCGTTGATCCCAGGAAGACGCCTGATGGCGGATTTGGCCTGAGCTCGACCACTGTCAATCTGCTTGTCGAACCCTGAGGAGAAGGAGGAGTCGCGTTCAGTCCGATGTTTCGTTTGTGGAGGAATGTTTTCACGAAGTGTGTCTGTACCTTTCAGCGCATTGAGGGCGTCGTCCAGCTCGTTGGTGTTGCTGCCGATTCGTCCCAGAGCAGCTTCAGTGTCGGCCTTCGCAACGTTGACTCGGTCCAGAAGCCCGTTGAAGCCCTGCACACGCACACACACACACACACATTGTTTGTACTTCTATCTTAGTGAGGACACTCGTTGGCATCATACATTCCCTAACCTCAAACCAGGTCCATTAACGGTGGGTCAGACAGTGAGGACCAGACAAACGTCCTCACAAAGAGTCTGTGCAAGAGCACACTGGATGTTTGTCGA